TTTCTGACTCATTCACCATGTGATGCATGCCTGAAACTCCTACTGTTAGAACTCTGTGCAGTCTGGCCAGCCTCAGAGACTCTGTTATTTATTGTCCTGGGTTCTCTGATGATGTCTGGTTATTGGAGTAACAACTTGAGAATCTTGTATCCTATCTCTTAGAGGTAAGAATTCTCAATGGACAAATGGTACTTCGGAATACCCTGCTGATCAATTTAAAATTGTGACAAGAACTAAATATGCTTTCTGACCCAATGGTTATTAGCATACATAAAATTCAATATAAGCTGGTTGCCAGTAATTCTAGCTAATCAGGAGGCTGAGATTTGAACATCATGATCGGAAGCCAGCCTAGGCAGACAAATCCAAGAGACCTTTATCTCCAATTAGCCAGCAAAAAGCCAGAAGTGGAAGTGAGAAGCCTTGAATAAAAAGGCTAATCAAAAGTGAGGTGCCTTGAGTTCAAGCCCCAGTTACCTGTACACACACAAAAAAATTCAGTCCAGTTTTATGCTTATTGGTTAGATTATGGCTTGACAGGAAGGAAATAAAGGTGATTTGAAGGAGGGATACAGCTGAAAGATCACTTTATTTAGGAGTTGGAGATTTCAGTGATTTTTCCAAGCCTACATGCCAAATTTCTGGGCTTTATGTAAGACCCTAAGCAGCAACCAACCACAGATTTCCATTAGTAAATTTCAAATTTGTTCCAATGGTTAAGAATTCGGTCTTATCATCAGTGCTATGATTAGCTCAGGAATCTCACTTGGAATCAAAGTGCAGCCACAGCACTGGAGACCTTCATCTTTACCACCACTATTCCACACTCACACGCTGATGGGAACCATGAGTAGGAACTGATGAACCTGTGTGTTGCAGAAGAGTTGTAGCAAATGGGAAAATAGGCTGGTATGGAGATAAGAAAAAAAAAAAACAACAGTAATGGCTCACTGACATTTTTTTAAAGCAGTCAAAAATCTAGTTATTCTGCCTTCTTTGTAGGCTCTGGCTGATATTTTTTGAAAGCAGCCAAAAATTTAGTTTTTCTGCCTTCTTTGTAGGCTCTGGAAGTCTTTCTTGTTATCTCTTGCTCATAGAAGGATTTCTCTAAGTTTTCCTCCTCCTCCTCCTTCTCCTCCTCTTCCTCTTTCTCTTCATTCTCATTCTTCTGGAAGCATTGGAGTTTACTCAGGACCTTACACTTGCTGGGCAAGCACTCTACCTTCAGTTCTTTTTGCTTTACTTACTTTTTAAGTAGGTATTTTTATTTATTCCCATGTCAGTGTGAACTGTTCTCCTATTTATGCTTCCCTCATAGCTGGTGCAAGCCACCATGTCCAGACTTTTATTGATTGAGATGAGGTCTTTTAAACTTTTTGCCTGAAGTGACTTCAAACTAAAAAGAACAATCCCCCCAAATGGCTAGTATTATAACCATGGGCAACTATGCCCAGACTAGAAATTTCAGTATCATTATTCCAGATTCTCCTTTCAGAAGAAAAATATAATGGGAGAGAGAAGACACAGAAATAAAATATTTCTCGTAACTATGTTCAACTGAGTCCACCTCCATATGGACTTCAGAAAATAAGCTTTGAAGGTCATAAATCTCAGGCAGAAAAGAAATGGTTGAAAGCCAATATATTTCAAAGGCCAATCAACATGCACATACTACAATAAACATTTGCCTTTGAAAAGTATATCTGTCATTTACCTTTACCTCTACATCTTCATAGGTCTAATGCAATCATTATGCATGAGATATACACAACATTGTTTTAGTCATGGCTCATTATGTTTACTTTCTTTTCTGATACTTCAGCAAAAAAAGAAAAGGCAGTTTCCTAGCAACATCTATATTCAAGGGAACAACAACAATAAAAGCTTAATCACAAACATTTTATTTTCCCCAAAGTTGATTCCTGTCTGTGCAGCGAAGTTAGGTAGGTAGCAAGTATGCATCTCCTTAGCTTTTCCTCCTGTGAATTAAAGGGACAGTGAATACAATTTGCAACTTATACCTGGCTTTCCTAGCAATTGAAGGCTTTTATTGTCCATTTGCTCTTGGATGTCATTAGTATCAATGATCCGAAGGAAGAAAGAGTGGATTGGGATTCGAGATTGCTGGATTCCTAGTAATCTTTACATGAATTACTAGTTGATATATCAGTCAGTACTGTTTTTTGAACTATTTCCAAATGCCTGTTATTCTGGAAGGGTGCATTTCAAAGGTCCTTCCCAGATCTAAAGCCCTACTAATCATCACATCTCATTTTATTTTTAAAGTTTATGGGAAGCCAGGTACTGAGGGCTCATGTCTATAATCTTAGCTACTCAAGAAGGGTGAGACTGGAGAATCACAGCTTGAAGTTCTGTCAGGCAGTAAAGCCCTAGAGATTCTTAGCTCCAGGTGGCTCCTATCCATAATCCTAGCTACCCAGGTGGCTGCAATCTGAGGATCACTGTTCAAAATCAGCCCTGGCAGAAAGTCTGTGAGACCCTGGTGTCCAACTGAAGGCTGAAAAGCCAGAAGTGAAGGTGTGGCTCAAGTGATGGTGCATTAAGTCTTGAGCCCCAAAGCCAGAGAACAGTGCCCAGACCCTGAGTTCAAACCCCAGTACAGGCACACATGCACTCATACAAAAGCCCTAAGTGAAGGTGAGGCTTAAGTGGTAGAGCACCAGCCTTGCGGGTGAGAGATGAGTCCCTGAGTTCAAGCCCCAATACTGGCAAAGTTTATTGGCATTCATTCAATCAACATCACAGTTTCACTGTAGTATTCCTTCCTCCCAGGAAAGCATCTTTGGGAAATGAAGTAGCTGGCTGCTCTCCAAAGAAACACGTGCCTGTGCCTAGCTTTCTGGAGACTTCCTGCTTGCTGGCTGCTTGGGAGGTGGGGGTCCCCAGGTGCACGCAGAGGAAATGACCTGACTGACCTCTGTGGTGAAAGTCTACACGTCTTCCTCCTTCCTTAGGAGGAAGTGGCGTTCATTTCACTGCCTTCAGAAGAGCCAAGTTTCTCGAGTTGAAAGCGTGTGCACAGCAGTCTCTGCATCTTTCACCCCGAAAGTCCCTGCACAGAAACTCCGTGGGGAGTCTAAATATAGCAAATAACAAACTCCCCCTCCCCCGCCTTCAGCCGGGGTCCCCTGTGCAGCTCGAGGATTGGAGGATGGCATATCCCCACACTCTTCTTTGCATCTGCCTGGAAGAGCGGGCACGGAGCAATCGCTCTCGCACCTCCACAGCGCGTGGGTGTGAAGTGTATTAGGGGAAAGCAAGAGTGACTCTGGGTGCTGGCACTTGGCTCGCAGTCACGTGGCACCACTGCCAGCCACCGGGAACAAGCAGCTACAGTCTCCTGTCCAGAGGAGAGGCCTGTGGGTCTCAGGAGCAGGCCCCAGGGCTCCCACCTATAACAGATAAGAACTTCAAAAAGAAAAAGAAAAGAAAAAAGAAAGCATTTAAGGGGAGCCCACAGCAGCTGCCCGCAAGCGTGGTGCGCGCGTGTGCGCTGTGGGTTGGGGCAGTGGGAATGTGCACCTTGCTGCTTGTAACTTGTCATTGTTTTCTTTCCTATTTGGGAGGAAAGCTACTCCCTTGGAAGAAGCCTCCAAGCCTGGCTTCTTCTCAATTTCCCCACGCTGGATGTGAGCTTGAACTGCTTAAGGTTTTGACTTAACCATTTTTTTTGTTTTTTGTTTTTTTTAAATTCCAATTTAATTTTATTTTTTGGGGGAAGTATCTTTGAAAGCCAGCGGCACTGTGGCCTCGCCTTCCCCCAAGGGAACTGAGCCCAGATCGGGGTGGCAGGGTGCTAGAGCTGCACCCCAGTGGGAACCCCAGGCAGTTGGTTCCCGCACCCCATCTCTAATCAAGTCAGGGTCAGCATCCGAGGCCTGGGGGTGCGCCCTGGACACCTCATCCTCTAGGATCCTTCTCCCAGCCCCTGAGATTTGGGCACTTTTCTGACTTCCTGAGACTAAAATGGAAATTTCTTGACGAGGGAACTGGGTTCGTTCTCCCCGGCTTGGCTGCCAGGTGGAGCCCGGGGGCAGCTCACCCACTGCGGAGAAGCCGCTGTGGAGTTTCACGCCCTCCCCGCACCCCACCCCCGGGCTGGGAAGGAGGGATGTTCAGTCAACTCGAGGGCGTCTGTCTGAGGCTGGGATGGAAAGTCACCGCCCGCAGGCTGTGTTGAGCGGCGGGAAGACGCCGGGTCCCCACCTCGCCCTCTCCACGGCCGCGTCCTTCGGGTGTGCCGCCCACTGAGCTGCCCACGGCTCGCCACCAGCGCGGGAAGCCCAGCGTGGGTCGCGCTCGCCCGATCGCTTGAGGACGGCCGGGGACCCGGAGGGCAGGCCGGGGCCGGGCCGGCTGCACCCCCAGAGGGAAGAGGGGCAGGACCCTGCCCGGCGAGGCGGGGCAGGGCAACGGACACCTCCGCTCCGTACGCAGGGCACCCCACCACCTCAACCTAGCCGACAGCTCCGAACTACTCCCCCCCCCCCCCCAACCCCCCGGGGAAAGCAAGTCTAACTCTTCCCTGAACTGGACTCAGGTGATCGGTCCTCTGCTGGGAGAAAAGGGTGCAGGGGAGTGGAAGGAGTGAAGAAGGGGGGTTGCGGCTGGTGTGTGCGCGCGTGGGAGCGCGCCCCGGAGCGCCCCACTCCTGGCTGGGGGGTACTTGGAGAAGCAGGCAGCGGTAGCCCCGGGAATCAGAGAACTGGCGAAATCCTCTCCGAGGGACGCCCCCAACAGGTCCGGATCGCGACGAGGAAGCGACGGGCGGCTAGAAATTGGGCGCCCTCGGCCGCCTCCGCGCGCCCGCCGACCCCGCCCCGCCCCGCGCCGCCCCCCGCCCCGCGCCGCCGGAGGTCGCGGGCCGCCGGGCGCCCCGTCGGCCGCCCGCTTCCTCCTCGGAGAGCGGCGGGCGCACATGAGGCCGCGGTCGTCCGGGCGAGCGCGGGCGCCCCCCTCGCGGTGCCCGTGGTGATGCCATGCCCCGCCACCACGCGGGTGGAGAGGAGGGCGGCGCCGCCGGGCTGTGGGTGAGGAGCAGCGCGGCGGCCGCGGCGGGCGGGGGGCGCCTGGGCAGCGGCATGAAGGATGTGGAGTCGGGCCGGGGCAGAGTGCTGCTGAACTCGGCCGCCGCCAGGGGTGACGGCCTGCTGCTGCTGGGCACCCGCGCGGCCACGCTGGGCGGCGGCGGCGGCGGCGGCAGCGGCGGCGGCGGCCTGAGGGAGAGCCGCCGGGGCAAGCAGGGGGCCCGGATGAGCTTGCTGGGGAAGCCGCTGTCCTACACCAGTAGCCAGAGCTGTCGGCGCAACGTGAAGTACCGGCGGGTGCAGAACTATCTCTACAACGTGCTGGAGAGACCCCGCGGCTGGGCGTTCGTCTACCACGCGTTCGTGTGAGTACCCGCCGCCCCTCTCCCTCCTCCCCTGCGCGCGCCCGGCCACGCCGGGGACCCCTCCCCACCCGTGCGCTCGGAGCCCGCGACCCGGCCGGACGCGCGCGTGCGCGCGTGCACACACTCCCATCGGAGCGCGCGCGCACGTGGTGGGTTTTATTATTATCATTATCATTATTATCGCTATCATTATTTGCTTGCACGTGTCCGTGCTCTTGCAGCCTCTCGCCTCCCCTGCGCCAGCTCCTCCATCTCTGTAGCTTGAACCCCCTCGATCCCCTCGGTCCCCTCGGTCTGGCGCCCCAGGAACTGCTAGGCACCCAGCAAAAGGTGGATTTTAGGTTTCTCAGCTAATTGGGATCGGGGAGATCCTGAGCTAGCATAAACTTCAGCCGAAGCGGGGAGAGGCACAGAGAAGGCACGTTAGCGGGGTTCCGGGGCGATGGCGGAGGGGGAGACAGGTCCTCGGTACCGGGGGAGGAGCAGGGAAGCTGCTAGTTGGTGGAGAAAGCCACTGGGTTCGGAGTGCGCCCGGAAACACGCCTGGCCACCACCAGGGTCGCCACCAACGGCAGATCTTGTCAGCGCGTGGAGCAATTCTTGTCACAGAGAAGGTGACTAAGGTCGAGAAGAGTGAGCCAGGCTCGAGCGTGGACCCGGGCGACGTGGGGCGCTGGAGCGCCGCGCCCAGGTGTGACCCAGGAAGCAAGAACCCACCCGCCACATCTGCCCGGAGTCAGCTCCGTGTGTGTGTGTGTGTGTGTGTGTGTGTGTGTGTGTGTGTGTGTGTGTGTGTGTGTGCCCCTCGCCGTCTAGCAGAGAATGCTTAATGAGAAAACGATTGGAAGCAAATGTTTATTTTCCCCACAGGCATTTAAAACCTTTCAGTGGCTTTAAAGTTTACTACTGTTTTCCCCACAAGGTCCATTCATTCATTCTCCTGTTAAGAGTCCAGGTTTTACACCCTGTTTCATTCGTGTTTTTTTTTTTTTTTTTTTTTTTTGTCCCTTCCTCTTTTTCATTTTTTGCCTTTTGGCTTTCCACTCTTCATACTTGTTGCCTATGCTAAGATGAAATATAAACACGATAGAAGATCTTTAGAGGAAGTTGCAATTGCCCATGCGTTCCTTCTTTCCTAGGAAAATTCATTTTGAGCACATAACCTAGTTTCTTTCTGTATCATCTGTACATATCCTCATCTGAGACAGGCTGGCACCAACATGGAAAAAATATTTTTTAATAACTTGGGGGAAAGGACTAGGTTTGTAAGTACTGAGCCTGGAATTTGACCACGTAGGACTCAGGAAGCCGTGGAGGCTAGAATCTGTGGGGCTCTGGTGTCTGGAAAAGTTTACAATTCCAGACTGCTGTGAGCTTGTAGGATTCACTGAAAGCTCCCCTGCAACTTTGATTATTATTTCTACTAATTTCATATCCTTATTACACCAAAAGGGATTAAGTTCTATCATTCGCTGATGAAGATCATATTAATGTAGGATGTCGATACTGTAATTAATATTAGTCATAGAGAAACACTACTGATAAGCTTTTCTTTCCTGGGTTGATAGAAAATCACTCTATTATTTAATGAGTCCAATAAGTTATTTTGACCTGTTTTAGAATAAACTCAAAATTTAGCAATGATGATACCTATTTTGGCAGCAAATATATCATGCGTATAATAACTTTTTACAAGATATGCTTAACATATTCATGGCTTGGAACTTTCAATATGATGACTTTGTGGTGAATCATATGTTTTATCCACCTAGCAGTGCTTTTTATGATATATATGATATAAATGATAGGATATGCTGATATGATATAAAAACATGATACGTTGATATTGAGAACATGAAGTTCTGCTTCATATACTTCCAGCAGTAGGAAACAGTACTGTTTTAGTTGCTACATAGACTTGCTAGGTACACATTAGCACAAGGACTGCTTGTAATTTTATTTTATTTATTTCATTTTAAAAGTAATTATTGTTTGTAATTATTAATTCTTTTTTTTTTTTTTTGTCGGTCGTGGGGCTTGAACTCTGGGCCTGGGCACTGTCCCTCAGCTCTTCAGCTCAAGGCAAGCGCTCTACCACTTGAGCTACAGCGCCACTTCTGGTTTTCTGGTGGTTTATTGGAGATAGGAGTTTCACGGTCTCTCCTGCCCAGGCTGGCTTTGAACCGCGATCCTCAGATCTCAGCCTCCTGAGTAGCTAGGATTACAGGCGTGAGCCACCAGCGCCTGGCTTGTAATTATTAATTCTTGTGATGGTCCTGGGGCTTGGACTCAGGACTTTGGTGTATTCTCTGAGTTTTTTTTCTTAAGCCTACTGCTCTATCACTTGAGCCACAGCATCAATAATGGCTTTTTGGTGGTTAATTGGACATAAGAGTCTCATGGACTTTTCTGTCTTTGAACCACAGTCCTTAGATACCAGCCTCCTGAGTAGCTAGGATTACAGGCACCCAGCTTAAATGGTTTTGGAATAGCTGGACTTCACACATTAAATTAATAAATCAAACTTGCTTTGAGCTGTACATCTAACAAGACCACTAATAATGCAGGAAATTACAAGAAAATCACTTCTAGAAGAGGTGTAACTAACTAATTCCCTGCCAGCCTGGGAATCCCCAAATCTTACTTTAATAACAGTTTTTGTAGCATATTAAGGTTCCTGCCAAGAAACAAGTGCACTGTGATTAATGAAGCACTTCAGGGATGAATTTACTTGGTAGACCAATGTTTATACTGCCAAGAAACAAGAAAAGTGTACTTAAACTTATGCTTTAGGTAAAGAAAAACCTCTGTTAAATATGCAAAACTCATTATATAATGATACTTTAATGATATAAAATGTGGTTTTAAGAGTATTTATTCCAAGCTGGGTGCTGGTGGCTCATGTCTGGAATCCTAGATACTCAGAATGCTGAGAGCTGAGGGTGTGGTTTGAAACCAGCCCTGGCAGAAAAGCCCGTGAGACACTTAGCTGCAGTTAACCAGCAAAAAGACATGTGTTGCTGTGGTTCAAGTGGTAAAACACCAGTCTTATGTGAAAGAGCTAAAGGACGGCATCCATGTCTGGAGTTCAAGCTCTAGTATTGGCCTGAGGATGCCCGTGCACACACGAGTACTTAGCCCACCAATAAGAGATATCTGAAATGTCTGAAGTACTTGCTTACAGTTGGTGAATCGGGGGATTAGAAGATCAGTGTCATTGCTGTACTTTTGGTTTTATGGGTAGCATTTCCTGCCTTTAGCTGTTCTTCAGTTTATTAGATGAGCCATTAAAAATATAAGCTGACTAATTTCCTTGAATGTTGTTTGATTTTTCTTAGTTCCCCTTCCTTTTGGGAAAATTTTAGAGTCATAGTGGTACTATGTAGAGGAATCATAGTGGGATTCTCTGTATAAATTTGCCTTGCTGTAGGAAATGTGGTTCTGAGACAGTACACAGGAAACAGTAGTGTAGATACATCTTACTTACTTAACACTCCCCTAGTGTATATTTGCCTGGTTTAAGACCGTGGAAGAAGATTCATAGATATTTTTAAACTAAAAGAAATATTCCAGACACCCAAGCTAAAGGCCCTGAAGGCATCCCTTTTTTCATACTTCCTCCTTCTGGCCATCCAAATGGTCATTCTGTCCTGTTTATTTACTCATAAATGTTTTGGAAATACATTTCTGTAAGTTCTTTACTTTTTCCATCTCTGCCTGGTTCTAAGTACCTCTGCATGGGATGATTGTAATACCCGCCTGTTTGATCATCTCCCTTCTATTAAGGACCTTGTAGCAGGAGTCTCTGAAACCATAGCTCTAAATGTAAGTCTTCTCACTTCCTAAAAATGCAGATATTTATTCATTTTTGGCAGCACTAGGATTTGAACTCAGCACCTTCCACTTGCTAGCTGGCACCTTTCCACTTCAGCCACACACTTAGTCCTTTTACTTTTAGCTATTTTTGTGTAAGACCTTGCATTTTTTGTGTAGGCCAACTGGAACCACATTTCTATTTACTTGTCCTGTGTACCTGAGTTGACAGGCCCACACTGAGCTACTGATTGAGATGGCATCTCACTGAGTTTTTGCCCGAGGGGCTTGGAATCATAATCCTCCCAGTTACCTGGATTTCAGGCATGAGCTATTGAACTCTGTTAAAATGCAAATCATGTATTATTCCGTTGCCTTAAATCTTTCTGTTATTATGTCTTATTAATTTGTATATGTGTTTATTTTATTTTATAAAAGCTGAGTGGCAATGAGCCTGGGAAGTAGCTTATTGGTAGAATGCTTGCCTAGCATGCATGAAGCCCTGGGTTCGATTCCAGGACCAGCTCCAGGACCAGCAAAAAATCCAAAAGAGAACAACAAAAAAGCTGAGTGACAATTATTAATTATAGTATGTGTTGATTCCCAAATTAGTAAGAGAAAGACCTCTACTTTTAAGGATGGAAAAGATTCTAGCATATGGTGTTTACAACCATATGAAAAGGTGTGACACAATATCCATGATTTTTTTTTTTTTTTGGTCGGTTGTGGGGCTTGAACTCTGGGCTTGGGCGCTGTCCCTATGCTCTTCAGCTCAAGACGAGCACTCTACCACTTGAGCCACAGTGCCACTTCCGGGTTTCTAGTGGTTTATTGGAGATAAGAGTCTCACGGACTTTCCTGCTGGGACTGGCTTTGAACCATGATCCTCAGATCTCAGTCTCCTGAGTAGCTAGGATTACAGGCGAGAGCCACGGCACCCGGCATTCATGCTCTTTAGAGGAGGTAGGTTACCAAGCTCTATGGGAAAGGAGAAGGTGGTGGAGGAGATGAATGCAAAACCATCAGCAGTCTCCTAAGAGAGAAAATGAGACATGAGCTGACTTGAGACAAATGAGTCCTTAATTTGCACTTAGGCAAAAAAGGGAGAATGAAGTCCTGATGGAGACAGAAGCTTATGTAAAAGTTTGGAATTCTGAATACAAGAATTTGCAGGACAAGACCATGTA